TCTCTCTCTCTCTCTCTCTCTCTCTCTCTCTCTCTCTCACACACACACACACACACACACACACACACACACACACACACACACATACGCACACATATGCTCACACGGGCGCCAAATGGGCAGAAAGTGAGCACCATTGCATGCACTAGCGCCTTTTTTTTTTCTTTTTCTTAGAGAAAAATACACCATTTTTCGATTTATGCATATCATCCTTGTGCAGGGTTAATCTTCCGATTTGAATGCATGTCTTGAACACGCCTTGATTCCCCCCCCCAAGTGGATTAGTGTGAGTCAAGTTGAGCGCTTTTTTCAAGGGTTTCACTAACTCTAAGTTATGTGGTGAGTTGTTATCCATCAATGAAATGCATCCCTGACAGACTATCGAATTCCAACCTCCTAGCATCGTCATGCTTTTTTGATTGTACGTGCGGAGTTGTTGAACATGATCCCCTCCCCCCCCCCGGCACACACACTCGCAATCGGGTTTTAACCTCTTGATAACTTGAAGCCGATGAAAGTCCCATGAAACAGTCTTAGGCATAAAGAGAGCTTTCATCATTTATTAGTGTTGATGCAATTTTCCCTAGAAGGACAATAAAAGGTACCCTGAACCACAGAGGAGTGACATTCTTTATTCCTCTCTTTCTATATGCGGCATACTCAGGCACACGACACATGTTATAAATGACCGACATTGGATTTATGGGCCCTTAGGCTGCACACTCCATATTTGGGGCGGCCCAACGTAGCATAATAACAACCTTACCGTTGCTCAATAACATCGACATACAAACTACAGGCTCGGACTCGTGCCCTCACGGTAAGTCAGTGGAGCAACCCACAGGATACCCCACGGAAAGGTCAGCGAGAGCCCAAGCCACTAACACCCGCAGCGTGAGCTTATGAGTGGGTCTGTGGGAAGAAGGCTAGTAGGGGCCCTCAATCAACTTACCATGAGGGCAGGGGTGTGCAAACCGTAATTTGATCTTAGCCAAAAGGGCGATAAAGGTTTATTCGATTTGAAGTTTGTATGTGGGGAAGGGTGTATGTGTATGTATGTGTTTTTTTTTTTTTTTTTTTTAATACTTAACTATAATTAAAAAAAAACATGACTGTGCCAAGTTGTTTCATTAAACTTTGTGTATGTGTGTGTGTGAGAGAGGGAAAAAAAAAAAAAAATCAATTGATGAAGTTGCAAAAACAAGGATGTTATTACACTAGTGTTGCTCACCAACCAATTAACGCTATCATACGACGATTTATATAAGATCACGAAAAATACTTTTGTACTTGTTGCCACAGTATATGGAATTTGCCCAAACGTAGGGGCACAGGGAGCGCATCCATAATGACCTTAATTTATTATTTTCGTTTTCATAGAGAGAAAAAAACACAGAGAGGACGTGGGGGGGGGGGGGGGGGGGGAGCATAACGGGGACACACGTGGATTTTCAATATGCAACTATGACTGACTTACTTTTGTTTTATACACCCACATACAATCGATTGTGCATACACAATGGGAAAACAACGATTGAGCGAACAATAATTCCAACATGTGTAAGCGCAGGCACAACAATGGTTGCAACAACAATAACAAATGCAGTAGTAGCAAAATCGATCACCACATATAAACCAATAACAACAATAAAATACACTAACGCAACAGACCTAACCCAACATCTTGCAACAATATGGATCGGGGGTGACCAATCAATCCCTAACAGAGGTTGCAGAGTTAAAAAGTAAATGTTATGAGGAAAGTGAGGTTGAAGTATGTCATACCATTTCGTTTATAAAAGAGGACACAAAAGATAGAATGAAATACTAAAATGAAAATATACTCCAACCCCCTCTCCCTATATATAATGAGCATAGTGAGTCAACCTCACTCTAACACTAAAATCTACAAACTCGAAAGATAAGAGAACGACATGATCTGCACTCAAAACATAAAAGAACAGCCATTTCGTCAAAACGAACATATTATATTTTTTGAACGAAATCAAAACTGATTTTTTTTGCCAAAATTCGGTCGGAATTTTTTGCTCCTGGGGGTCCGGCGTTCCCAAAACATTGGACCCCCTACATGTATCTGGGCTATGCATAGACCACATACATGTAGGGGGTCCGGCGTTTTGGGAACGCCGGACCCCATGAGCAAAAAATTTCGACCGGATTTTGGCAAAAAAAATCAGTTTTGATTTCGTTCAAAAAATATAATATGTCCGTTTTGATGAAATGGTTGTTCAAGATAAGGACGGCGACTAAGTAAGCCCGGTCCCGCTTTATAGCGGATAAATCCTCAATTGTCATCCTGATTTTAATGATTAGCCAGCTATTTGACACCATGAACGTTGTTCATTGATAAAAGATAGAAGAGTAAGAGCAATGTTTTGCAAATTTATAATTTTGGTGTTACTTTGATAGACCGAGGTTAACTCGTTGTGCTCCTAGTCCGTAGTGAGGGTTTGTTTCAGGTTCATTTTTAGCTTACTATTTTCATTCAATTTTTTGTGTCCTTCTTAAAGTTTATAGTCAAAATGGTTTGCTAAACTTCAGCCTCACTTTCCTCAAAGTATTCAATTGACCCTCACACAGACTCGCTTGGGGCTAGGTTGGTCAACCCTGTAAATTCGTGGATTTTTATGCTACTTTTATGGATCGAGGTTGATCGTTGTGCTTTTTTTGGCACATGGATTCGTTGAGGTTTATTTTATTTTTTGCATTCTATTGCATCTTTTGCATCCTCCTCTATCGAAGAAATGTTATGACTCGCATTTCCCCGCTTGGAAGAAACAACTTTGTTGACATGCCCATAAGATTCATACGTGAAGCGTCTACTCTTCGAGTATTTGCCTGACCCGTAGTACCTTTATTTACAGCAGCAGCCTACCAATATACGTGCAGCGCAACACACGTCTGGTTCTGTATACGGTCAGCAGACAAAAAGAAGCCTAAATCAAAGGAATCGAAAGAGCACATCGCATACTTCAGCAGTACGAATCTGTCGGCAGTTGGATGAGACTAACTATACATTCGTTGGTTGTTTCGATATCTATAGCCTTTCCTCAAGATATTCAATTGTTTCCACTGTAACCTTACTTGCGGTAAGTGATTAACCTTGTACATTGATCAAAGATAAGAGAGTAAAAACATTATTTAAAAAAATAAAAATGTTAAATTTTATCTCACTAAATAACATTCTTATCTACAATTTCGCTCTCTTTCTGTATCGGAAAAGAAATATTTGCAAAATTATGGTTAAAATTTTTATTAAAGTTATGGTAAATGACTTTATTAATTCTACTAAAATTAGTTGAGAAAAAATCGATAAAATCATAACTACAACTATCAAAGCCCTGATGACAAAGTAGATAATGAAAATAAAGGGACAAATAATTTTAAAGGTCGTACTTCATAAGAACAAAAATTGTCAATTTGAAGCGAGGATAAAGGGTGGACAATGTTGTTTATAACTGCTAGTAAAAA